CCTGACCACCTGATCCCGTTAGTCGCCTCTTACGACAAGCATGGGTTACTGAAGATTAATTCTTACACGGATCTTCACGGGTATCAGATATATAGTAAGAAACCAGAGTCAACAGAGGTACGTGAGCTGGGTATTCTACCATTGGGGCATGGTATATCATTGGTCCTGCACTATATAAACGTCATAACTGCTGAAAAACTGTGACACAAGTAAAGGGACATAACTCTGTTGATACTAGAGTCGTGGACCTGTCAGTTGTGTTTAGCACAATCTAGTACTATTTGTGTTTGTTTGTTTGCCAGCAATATTCCAGCTATATAGCGCCGGTCTGTTAATAATCGAGACTGGACCGAGCAAGCCGGAGATCAACAGCATGAGCATCGACTTGAGAGTGTTGGAATACAATGACATGTGTCAGCCAAGTCAGCGAGTCTGACCACCCGATTCCCTTAGTCCACTCTTTCGACCAGCATCGTTTGTTGAAGACCAAAGTTTTTAATTAAAGCATAACAGGTAAGGGACGACTAACGGGATCGGGTGGTCAGGCTCGCTGACTTGGTTGACACATGTCGTCGGCTCCCAATTGCGTAGATCGATGCTCACAATGTTGATCACTGGATTGAGAGGGGGGTGACTGCCGTGAAGCCAAATATGACCCTCAAACCCGGTCCGACTGCAAGTTTATTTTGTTGAGTTTTATTCCTATTTATTTTAATTTATATGTTATATGATATACGGAGAGTTTGGTCGATACCCGATGTATATTAAATTAAACAAAAGACTTATATGTCTTTGGCACAAAATGGTAACAAACACCCGCCAAGCTAAAGAAATCAATGTGTTTCCCTGGATTGAATTTGTAAGAAAGACACTAAATGACTGTGGTTTAACTGAAATATTTTACAATCCATTTCTCTGTCCAACTAAGTTTCTCTCTTTTAAGATGGAACAGATCCTCAAAGACCAATGTTTACAGAAATGGCACACCTCCATGACACAGAGCTCCAAATCTTCTATTTATCGTATCCTAAAAACCAACATAGAATTTGAGAGATACCTCTTTCTGCCAAAACATATCTATTTCCGGATTTTAAGATTCAGAACAAGTAATCACCACCTCCCTATAGAAGTTGGCAGTTGGGCAAATGTTCCTAGAGAATATCGTCTGTGTAATTTATGTAACTCTCATGCAGTTGGAGATTAACTCCATTATATGTTCAAATGCGATGCTTTATTACTGTATAGACAAACATATTTACCTTCTTACTTGAATTCAAAAACCTTATCGAAAGTCGTCAAACTGTTCTCGTCTAAACAAAGGCGCAATCTTGCTATGTACATTAATGTAATATTTAAGTCTACAAAGATACATTAACCTTTGGTTCTATTTCGCTTTTATCTGCCATCTTGACATGTATATATTTATATGACTATAGTAATATTGTATTCTCATGTACCACCGTTCGTGGTGTTTTCAGCAATAAATTGAACTTGAACTTGAACTATTTCTGTTCCTTTCAGTTGTCATGTCATAGGTACAGTAAGTAGGGGAAGTTTCAATAGGGTTTTTTTGCCCAGCAGTCTCGAACCAATCTGAATAAACAAACAAAAAGTAAATTCCCACTTTAGTGGAATTCCCAAAGAAATACATAAAAACACTACATTTGCATTTGGGGGGCATTAATAATTCCCCCTCCCACACTTGCGGGACACCCAGAGAGTAGCGAGGTTGGAATGCACTGGTAAGGAAATTCCCGCGACTTGCGTAAAGGGAGATAACTGCGTAAGTACTGGCGTGTGGGCATTTTCCTCAACCGGCGCAATTTAAATGATCACCGAAAGGGGTTTTGTACAACATAAAATTATGGGAGTGATTCGCTGTACATGCATTACGATAAAGCAGTCATTCAATTTCTTCCAAACTACTATTAAAATTGATATTGTGTACTGTGTTCGTAACACACGCCATCAAAATTCCATCCGTATCATGGCGCACCTAGCCTGAGACAGACACATCAGTACATACTGTGACATATTATCCATCCAATCCTCATAAGATATCTCTAATGACAAGCGCTGGGTGCCTGTTTGTGCTGTAATACCATATGGATGGGTTGCTACTGGAGAATCACTTGTTTCTTTCTACCCACCCACTCCGACAAAACTACAACCATATTGGACACAGGAGAGAGTTTGTGGCCGATGTCATACCATCACAATCTGGTACAGACACAGACCCAGGGACGTGCCCGTTGACATCTGGGGTGGTGGGGTAGCCTAATGGTTCAAGCGTCCTCTCGTCACGCTGAAGGCCCGGGTTCGATTCCCCACATGGGTACAAAGTGATAAGCCCATTTCCGGTGTCCCCCGCCGTGATATTGCTGGAATATTGCTAAAAACGGCGTAAAACCACACTCACTCAAATAACGTTTCTATTTTATTTTGCCCGTCAAAATGCAAAATGAAGTAATCAGGCCGCGTGATACATTAGAATCAGGGTTACTTTGTTATGTCTCATCATCTAAAGGAATGTAAATAAATATACAAGCATTTTATATCCCCCAAACAATCAAGTTTTAAAAAACAGTCTCCTTGGAAGTGTTTGTAATTGGCTTGCCCATGGGAATTGGATTGCTCCCCTTGGTAGTCGTATTTAAAGAACATCAATATCAATAAAAAAAAACTAAAAAACACGGACATAATTCGGGATTTGATTTTATTCTCAATAAAAAGCAAATAACGAAGAAAACAGTTTTCGTGTAATGCGTCTCGCACCATTAGAGACATAAAAACCCAAAGAAACACACTGAACTATGTAACAATGAACACTCGTGGTAGGGTATCTTCACCATGGACAGGTAGAAGTGCTGTGTGGTACACTTAGCGATCTAAGCGTCCAGCTGGATTATGCACATCATAACTATAACATAATCAACATACATATACATCTATAATGTGGACAAAACAAGGTAACGCTATGTACCGGTATCAGTATTAGACACAACAAAATCTCGCTAAAAAACAAATTGAGTCCCTTAGCTGAGCCAGGATCCGCGATCCGTACAGGTGCAGATTTGAATTCAGTTTGATCCCTGATGTTTCCCTTCAAAAAGCTTGTTAGTTGGTTTCTGTAAAGTGTTTAACATTTACGATTTCCGTCCGTTTGGTCATTCCATACATAATATAGTTACTGGTAGCACATAATTACTGCTCGTAACGACGTTAAACGTCACTCATTCTGCACTGCTAAACACAGACATCACAGAACACATCTTTAAATATATTACGGAGTCAAATAGAGTCGTATATACATATGCCTTTTAAAGCATCAAACATTTGAATATATACATCGCTGCCCCCAAAAATAATAAAATAAATAAATAAATAAATACATAAAAAAAAATATATATAAAAAAAAAAAATAAATAAATATATAAAATATAAAAAAAATAATAATAGTTAGCACAAAAGAATATATTTCATAAAAGTTAAACATATGAACGTGATCGAACACTTCCCTTAATATTTAACCGATGACGACGGGGTTTATACGGAGTAGGTTTCAATTGTGTATACTTGTGTAACAGTGACTAATTTTTCTTGCGAAATAAACTAGGTCACCAGCTCAATTTCCGTCCTGTTTCCTTGTTTCCCCTTTATGACTAAACAGAATACATGCATGTAACCTTCATGCCGAACCACTGCTGATGTGAAATAGCTGTACATGCACGACAGACAGTGTGAGTCAGTCACAGTCCCTTCAAAAGATAAGAGTTACAAATATTCATATGGTACCACCATGTCAGAATGATGAGATCAATTTAGAGTACATAGACTTGATAAAATACAAAGAAGGTCGCCTGGGAACGAAATACATTTCTGAGCGGGAGAAATAAATCCCTTATACACTGTTTAGAAGAAAACAGTTTGGATTCTTGAGTGGGAGATTAAATGACTCGTGCCTCGACTTAATTTAAGTCACGTGGCACGGCACATTTCTACCTCAACTCAGTCGAACCGCAGCCTTCTATCAATTTCAATTCATTTTTACTTTTTAACAACGGAAGATTGAAACATGCAAAGATAAATTCCGTGATGGGTATACAACCTAACGAGAAACCAGACGATATATAACTGCTACAACTTCCAATACACAACATCGGGCCCAGTTGCACACGTAGAGCGTTTATAATGCAAACGCTTGTTGAACACCTGCTGTTATCAGTGACTTCAGCGATTTTCATGTACTTGTCACTGCAGTTTTACGTTTTGTGTCCAATGGAAAAAGTTTAATATTTACAAATATCGCTGCACTGCGATTGCTCTTTATGCGAGTGCGTGCGTGTGTGAGTGAGTGAGTTTAGCTTTGCGCCGCTTTTAGCAATATTTCAGCAATTTCACAGCGGGGGACACCAGAAATGGTCTTCACCCTTATGCAAGGTCCCGTTTCATTTAACGATCGTAAGACTACAACTGCCTTACGTATATGAAGGGTAGCCTAGTGGTTAAAACATTCGATCGTCACGCCGAAGACCCGGGTTCGAATTCCCACTTGGATACAATCTGTGAAGCCTATTTCTGGTGTCCCCCGCCGGGATGTTGCTGGAATATTGCTGAAAGCGTCGTAAAACCAAACTGAATCACTATGTTAAAGAATGTAAGTCGGGTCGTGTGGTTTGAACTCATTCGACCAAGTGATATTTGTGCTACTATAATCACAACGTATATTCTTCAACACATGTGCGATACTCGTGGCCCTAAAACGACGCCTTTACATTTGTTAGCTCTAACATATTGTCTCCGTTCCCACACAGCATCAGTATCCCACTGACACACCACAACCATTCAGTATTATACACGGACAGCAAACTAGTAGCATGTTGTATACATCCGGACCCAGTTTTACAAAGCTCTGTCAGTATTTATATGACTTTCTCACAGCCCCATTAACAGAAAAATATTAATAGTCATAGCACTGGGAGCGCTTTGTGGTATATGAGGATGTGAGGCAAGTGCAACAAGGAAAAGTGAGGAAAGAAATTACATCTGTAACAAAAATGAGAAAATAAGGAATGCATCGGCATTGGGCCTGTTTTACACATAAATTGGAATGAAAACAATCCAGTTTATGTAAACGGGTATGGCAAGAATATCACTTAGGATATTGTAAAACAAGAATACAAGTGTACTGTATATTCATCAACATACTCGGTACAGTATATAGCATGGTTCTGGCAGAATTCTCATATCAACTATGTCATGTCACACTGACCATATTATTAAATCATACAAACCATCATACTGACCATGGCATTACGCCATATGGACTATCATGTAATAAGTAATATGTTGGGTAATTTTCCATTAAGACCAAGAAAATTGTAATAAATGCATTTTCAGCCATCTACCCTATTTGAAATGTTGTAAAGTTACTGCTATTAAAGGTAACCACCGGGAGGTATGAGTCATGCATAAAATATTATGAAATTTAAAAGTTAAATTCAATTTATATATCTTTTTTATTCACATAGGAATATTCCTTGATAAAGCGCCAGAAGGGTTAACGTTTATCTTTATCTGAACTTCCCTCACTTAATTTTCAATCGAAAGTCAAACATATTGTAAAATCAAGAGATATAGTTTCTTTTTCCCGAAGATAATCATAAAATTTATGTCATTATACATGTATTTAGGAAATGCGTTGACGAAACTTTGTCATTTCCGAATTACCTATACACCAGTTCTAGAAGAAGTGATTCTTGACACATTGTTCGGGGAACGAAGAAAAGAAACTCTTCTGTCAATAATGTCAAATATGTGAACGGTCATATATTTAGTGATCAAATATAAGACAGAGAGGCTTAATATGCCACAAATGAACATTTGTTTGAGCTGTGAGACAACGGAATACCGTTTAGGAAAGTTTATGTCTAAGGGACGAGGAAATAAGCGAGAGTAGGTCATGGAAAAGAGAGAAAAAGCCATTGGAATACGATAGTATGTCATGGAAACAAGATATTAAGTGTTGCAAAGGCATTGATTAACGTTTATAACCTCTTCTTCTCATGTGATCAGTAAAGCGTGTTATGTTATTTTTCCGCCAACAATGCCAAAAAAAGTAACGACATTATCAAAACTACCCAGTTAATAGAAAACCTACTCACACCATTAGTTTCTTTAATTTCGGTCACTACTTGGTCTACTGTTTCTGTCTTCTTCTCCTCCACAGTACAGTTGTTCTGGAGGAATTTTTTAAACTCATAGTCCTTTAAGTCCTTGGACTCCGAGTTCAGCAGACACTGTCCTTCCAGTGTCCACGGTTCAGACACCCACATGGCATCAAACACAGAACAATCGCAGTTCAGATCTAGTCCTTCTAGCCAAATCTGTTGGAATGTTTTCTCTTTATATTGTAAAACAAAACGTACATCAGTCATGTTGGTTCGTTTCAAAGCCAACGAAATACCTCGACCCTTTCCATCAAAAACATTGTCTTCGATCCTATAGAGGCAGTTATCAGAAAAATCGTAGGAATTTGCTCCGATTCCCTTCAGTGAATCAGTTTTCAAAACACATATTCGGTTTTTGTTTAGTGAAACGTGATGAAGCTTGGTCAAATTGGACAAGAAATCTCTAGGTACTTCTGTCAAACCCCTGTCGTTAATAGATATTGAAACCAAGCAGTTTTTCTGTGGTTCAAGTATGGACGCTTCTAGGGGCACTAGCGTCTTGCTGATGTCCAGGGTTTGGAGACAGTAAGATCCTTTTAGCGACGTAGATGACATGTCTACAAGTGGGTTGTAGCCTACGTTTAAGATCTTCAGAGCTGCGAGACTCCACATCCCCGCTGTGGGCACATCATCCAGTTCGCATGTCCTCAGTGCAAGAGACTCGAGACTCTTCTCAAGCCCAGCGAGAGATCCTTCTTCAATTTTCAGGCCACCATTATCACTGAGGTCAAGGTCACGTAAGCTTGACATTCCTTTAAAGCTATTGATGGATATTGATTTAATGTTGTTCAATCTCAGGGTCAGTTTCTTGAGATTATACAGATCCTTGACGGCAGAAGGGACCTCTTTCAACCAGTTAAACGTCAGATCTAACTCCTCCAGACTCTCAATACCAACAAACGCTTTATCCCCAACACCTGCAATGTGGCAATTGTACATGGAAACGTCCTTCAGGGCGGTCAGACCAAGACCTTTGAAGATGTTTGGCGCAATCACACCGTCATTTTTCTGGCTGTTGTAGTTCAGTATCAACTTCTGCAGCTTTGAGAGCCCTCTGAGGAAGGTGAAGGGAGAAGTGAATTGCAGGCGGATGCTCTGTAACCCCAAGAACTGTAGCGACCCCGCAAGGTTTATCAGGGCACTATCTTGCAGCTTCACGTTGTCATTAGCTTCGAGAAACAGCATGGCGACATTCAGATTGCTGGGGAAGTCGCTCCGTGATATGGACATGAGCATATTTCTTGACAAATCCAAACGTTTTGGGAGAGCATTTTCACTTAAAGATGAAAGATCTGGAACCTTCATGAAAGCTCTGCCCTTACAATTTACGAAGTAGGTATTACCTAGTTTGGGCACTCGACGAGTCCTACACACACATCTCTTAGGGCAGCTTATATCAGATGTATACACACAGGAAAATAAGGAGAAAAATAGAGTTGCATAAATTAAAATATGTTCCATCTTGCTCCGAGGACCCACGAGGATTCTTAGCATATTCCCGTTTGGTATTTTGGTCATTTCTGTTTTTCTTCAGGTTAAGAGAAGAGTGGTCGTCTCACATGGCCATGGTTTCAAGAAAAATCTGAAAAGACATTTGACATGGGTATTAGAAAAAAATATAACATGCGGCGTAAAACACAACTCACCCACTCACCACCCACATGAATAAAAGACACGTTCACGAGATACAACCAGATGGTCCAAGAACTGCTTCAAAACATACAAGGGGCGGTGGGGTAGCCTGGTGGTCAAAGCGTTCGCTCGTCACGCCGAAGACCCGGGTTCGATTCCACACATGGGTACAATGTGCGAAGCCCATTTCTGGTGTCCCCCGCAGTGATACTGCTGGAATTTTGCTAAAAGTGGCGTAAAACCTTACTCGTTCACTCACTCATAACACACAGTTTAGTAGTACCCCCTGACAAGATGGGAGAAACCAAATCATTTCTTCGTGCCGTATTCTGTTTTCAGGACGAGTATATTTAACGAACTTTCCTTCTATTTTTCAAAATTGGGCAAACATATCTATTCAAGTACATTATAATTATCAACCCTATGTTGTTGATAGGGCATGACCAGGTTCATTCGTCGTCGGCCAGGAAAATAAGTGTGAAAGTACTTGATATTGTTAAGCGAAATCGAAACAGATCTGAAATATCAACGAGTATGGTTATAACAGTTTCACTCAAGAAAACTTGAATAGATCTCATCACAAAGTACAGCGCAAACTCATCTCTGATTGATACATAACACAGGCGTATTTTTGTTTTCTCTCGTTACATAACATCTTCACCACACTGAGTGATCTGACGAATGTTGTCAACAGTGGGTCAGTCACGAGAAACAAGAACATTTCCAGGTCGCAATCGCACCTGGCTTTCAAAATAGAAGTAACACTAAGTTATATTAAAACGTAGTTTAACCTCACGTGAAACAACTTAACTTTACTGAAATATCAAATTTATTTAATGTTTGATAAACCGTCCTACCGTCCTGCTCCAGCAGATATGTGAAAGGAAATAACAATTAATTCCTGGTCCGTATTCCGGCTGATTCATGTTGCAGTACACTTTACTCAATGTCATTTCCTCTGTTTATGGGTCATTTTAACAAGTTGATATTAATGTCTCCGGGCTTTCCCCCGCAAAAACAACAACAATAACAATGAGAGTTTTCAAAGCTGTTTCAACAATGAAACAACGTATTTGGGATCATATGCTTAGTTTTACTCCATCGAATAAAACTTGTTCTTTTCAACACTTGTAATTCTAAAGAGTTTCACAACAATAACCGGTGAAGATCTGGGTTAAAAGTGATCTTCAGCAACCCGTGCTTATTATAAAAGGCGACTAACCAGATCGGGTGGTCAGGTTAGCAGACTTGGTTGACACATCGTATTCCCATGGTTTACTCCCTACATTTGAACTACACCCCAAATTAACTACAGGGATTATTAGGGATTAATTATCTGAGCAGAGACACCCCATGGCATGTAATGAGCACAGCCCATCAGCTCTCCCAGAAGAACTACATGCTTAAAAACTCCCATTTGTTACACACCCCAATACACATAAGGTCACAGACCGCTGCACACACCTATTACCTATTAGTGAAAATGGGATAGTCCATACTCGTTACAGACATAGAAAGATAACGCAACACAATTGATTAGCACTGCATATAATTTTATTGCATTTTATATGCATTTGTTTGCAAATCCATGTATATGAAGTTCATCATTCTTCGATGTCTTTTATCATTTATTTCCAAACCACTGACCGCCTCCGTGGTGTAGTGGTTAGAGCGTCCGCCCGGAGAGCGGAAGGTCGCGGGCTCGATCCCCGACCGCGTCATACCAAAAGACGTTAAAATATGGAACTTGTTGCCTGGCGCTCGGCATTAATGGGTACAACAAGGACTGGTCGGCTCGGAGTCAGTATAATGTGTCTGAGTTGGGTATTCATGCTTCACTGCGGCATGGTATCTCAGTGGGCTAGGCACTATAAAACCAGCCTAAGTCTGGGCTAGTACAAGCAGCCGCACATACACATACATATACACACACATGCACGTCGTCATATGAGCGAAATATTCTCAAGCACGACGTAAAACCCAATTTCATCTCACCTCACTAAACCACTGATTGGAAAATAGAAATTTTGAAAGAGGGGTGTAACTACACAAAAAAAGCATTAAGGGTATTAAGGGAAATTTGAATTGGAGGACGAATCAAGAAGGTAAAAAATATGAAATAGGTAAAGAGTAATAGAGGAATTTGGAATTTGTAATTTAATATAGAAATAGTGTAATAAATGGTTATTGTTATTGTGTTCTTTGTTTTGTGAACCAACCCATGTTTAAAAACATATTTATCAGGTGAATAATGATAAACATATAAAATGTGCAAGGGTCAACCCCAGCCATTTATAGTAGATGATGTACTTTCTCAATATAATTAAGTTAACTCTACTAAATAGTTAATCCTGCCTTGAGAAGATGAAATCATCTCAAGAGAGAAACAACTGAATGTACATATTAAATGCTAACTATGAAAAACATCTTTAATCAAACAAACATTTCTTGAGTAAAAACATCAAAACTGCTTGCTCTTAATCCCTTTGATCCATTTGACAGTTTGGGCTAGTCCATTATTGTTGTAGGCATAGCAGTAATTAACCCCCAACCTGACTGTGTAACAACTGGCAATATCAGAGTGTGTACTGGCATGTGTAACAAATGGGAGACAACCGGGTGAATGGGCTGAGGAAAGGGATCAATTAATTTGGTGAGATCAATTACCAATGAGTCAGTGGTGTGAACTTGAATTGTCACTGTAGACCATTACCGATGCAAAATGGAAACTCCACCACCAATCACCAACTATTATTGTGATAGTAGTACAGGTATATAGATTGTACTGAAGATAATAAATCCAATGATATACATATACATGTAAATACAGAATTATTTTTGCCCCATTTACTTACCAAGAAAATAGCTATTAAGCATTAATTTCATGATATAAGCCAGTTACAATGTATAGTACTGTTTGAAAAGTATTCAAGCAAGGAGACATTGAATAATCCGACACTCTGTATAATCCGAAATATTTTCCCGGTCCCAGTGAGTGTCGGATTATACCGGCTCTCAGAAAAGATATTACAATACGTATCGTTTGAAAAGCGTATTTCGGTATACCGGTTATACCGTGCAGTTCTCCAAGGAGAGGTCACATTCGCTATTGACTTCTCCTGTTCCAACAGTTTTATCACTGTGAAGTTTATCACTTTTCGTCGTCCTTATTGTTAACTGAATGACAGAAACATAACACGTATATATTTTTATGATAATGGACACAATGCGTTCAGTTGACCAAGTGTTCAATTTTAAGTGTTTTCTTTCAGTTGAGTATATGTTGTCGGCCTTTTGGTAGGTGATATATTTACAGTCAAACGACGATGCGACTACTTAAACACTTCGAGGTTCGACACAACCGAACAATAGAGCCCGTAAGTAGGTCACGGCAATTCGCGAGACCTTAGTACTTCCGGTGAGAAACAACGTTTCATACTTTTTCAGTCTCATGGTTGTCAGCTGACAGTAAGGAACTGATAATTCTTGCAGGAATAACAAAAATTTCCGCAAATTAGCTAATTATTACGACTGTCAACAGCTGTGACAGCCATGCATGATTGTACACTTGGTCCGGTCTAGTGAAATCATATTTGGTGTTCTTGAACATACGCTTGTCACCTGAAATCTGGTACCGGAAGTAAGCTGAGCCCCGCCTCCTATATTGCAAGTTGGCGCGCACAAAGGGAGCCGGGAACCAGCACAGTACCGGAAGTAGGGCCTCGCGAGACTTACAGCTCCTATGATGACGAAATAAGGAATACGTGGGAGCTAATTGTTTACTTTGAGACACATCGAGATTCCACACAAAATTGTTTGACAGTATTTAACTACCACTCATCTTGGTAGAATACAGTTACACCCAGATATATTCCACAAACCACGATTTACACATTTGTAAAGCTCAGGTGTCGCTAGTATATTTCTTAAAACAGATTGTTTTGATTTTGAATAATGTCCATTTCATCACAAAAACTCAGAATACAACAGTGCGGACAACCAACAAACAAATGACAGTCAGCAAGTATGCGTGTCCACGAACACAATGAGCTTCAGATGTGGGACATTCAGACAAATATCCTGGAAGTTTGGCATCTCTAAGATCCATCTGGGTGACCGTGGCATTGCAGGCCCCGGTCAACGACACTCCCTGATGGATCAGGCGGGCGATTGTACAATCACATTCTAGGGGCACTCCTCTTACGTTTATGGAACCAAATGTCCCAGCATCGTATTCAAGGGTGAAGCGTAAATCTGTCAGGAGAGTTTCAGAGAGTTCGAGGTACAACGGGTAGGTCAGATTCTGAAAAGCACCTTTTTCAATTCTGGCTAGAGGGTTTTTGGCCAACACCAAGAGGCTGGCTTTGATGCCTGCGAGAGAGTCTTTGCGGAGGACTTTGATCTCATTTTCATCCAGAAACAAATAGTGAAGTTTCTTTAAGGATCTCAGCGATTCCGCGGGAATATCATCTAAACCCATGTCTCTCAGAAACAAGTCTTTAATACAGTTTTCTTGGCCTTTGAAAATGTTGCGAGTTAGTTTGATATGTGTTTGGCTGATATACAGACCCTTTAAACAGAAAGATCCAGACAAAGAACCATCAGGAATTGTTGCCAACGGATTCAATTTTACGTTCAACTTCTTAAGAGCAGTTAAATGTTTTAGAGCATCGGTGGGGAATTTTGACAGTTTACAGTCACGCATGTCTAGAACTTGCAATGATTTCTCAAGACCAACCAATGCGTCGGCGTCAATCGTAGTAACTTTTGAGTACAACATGTTCAACGTCATCAACTTTCTGTTGTTCACGAAACTCTTCCTTTTTAAAGTTGTGAAGCGTGAATTACTTAAGTCCAGATCTGTCAGGGCAGTGAGGCGGGCAATACCGTCGGGTACACCAGGCAGTAGGTTCCCCGCTAGGTCCAACTCTTCCAGTGTTTCAATACCTAAGAACACATCTGTCCCAAGAGACTGAATGTTACTGTTGTACATTTTCAGTTTTTTCAAAGACGACAATCCCAAGCCATAGAAAAGACGGCTGATAATGTTCGGGTCTCCAGATTGATAGTGG